GCATGTCACTGCCCACCTATTCTTACCTACTTCTGTTGCAGTGAAAAGCATTTAAGATATTATCCAGGATTAGGAATAAATATAGTCTCCGCCCACAAAAGAGAGCCAATAAAAGTCCTTCACTTGAAAGAAAGATAACAACCAACATTGTTGAATTACTTCATCAAATGGGGACTGACTTTTTGAACAACTATGGACACACATGGAATAAGATTTAAGCAAAATATGTGAATAAAATTTACAATGTTGATTAATAAATAATTTTCAATAATAAGTATTACTCTGTATAGCACTAAATATTGAATCCATAATTCAGTATTGTTTAAAGAACATTTAAAGAATGAACAAAAGTTAGAGTACTGAATATTCATTCAATGCACTGCAACAGTGAGTTTTACATTAGGGAAGTGGCAGACATACACACAAGGGCCCAGAATGAACCCAGAAGGGGGACGTGCAAGGGGGATAGAGATCTCTTGCCCAAAACAAGACAACACTAGCATGATAAAGCACCAGCTTGCTCATCTACTTATTTCAAGCCTTGATCCAGGTTGGGTAGAGAGAGCCACAAAAAGCAAGCATTTAAACTCAAAACATGTGAAATAAAAAACCAAGAGTTAAAACCACACTATAACTTGAGTTTCCTACTTATTAGACTTCAACAATAGTTTTCAAGTACTCGGGAAAGAACAGCAGAGATGAGGCCTCGGGTAATGAATCAGACTATTGCCAGCACCTAGAGAGCGCCACCACAGCTGGCTGGCTGGGTTTACAGGACAGTGGATATTATGCAGAGGAAGGTACCACAGAAGCCAAGAGAGCCTAAAGCATAAGCTAAGAGGGACTGGGGGAGATGAGAGAAGAGACATTTCTGCCTCCTGCCAGCCCTGCACAATATGGTTCCCAAATGGCTCCCGAGTTTTCTGGGCAAAGAAGGCATGGCTGCCGTAGACCTTTCCTCCGCGTTTCCTCTCCTCCCCTCTGGGGAAGTCTTGTATTATAATCATGTTAAGTACTTTTCTTAAGACAAGCCAACAGTGACAAAATGAGTCTCCTATTCTCCTCATATATATAAGCATGACCACTCTACACTAATAGTTACAAACTGCCAACACTTTAACACCATGTGTATCACTTATACCTAACACCAAATCTGCTCTATGATACCTGAAGGCAAGCAAGTTGCCATGATGAAAATGAAATATACAAAAGGATATGTGATAGGCTAAATAAAGGCCTCCAAAAGGCATCCATGTCCTAATCCCTGGAACCTATGAATATGTAACCTTACATTCAAAAAGAAGTTCACAAATGTAAATAAGAAAGGATCTTGAAATGTGGAGATTATCTTGAATAATCTTGGTGGGCTCCATCCAAGGGTCCTTGTAAGAGGGAGATAAAAGTTCAGAGAGAAGGAGACGTGACACAGAGGGAAAGAGAAGAGAACAGGCAATATAGAGCCATGAGTGAGAAACAAGGACAGCCCTAGAAGCTGGCAAAGGCAAGGGGTGGATTCTCCCCAAGCGCCTCCCAAAGGACCCAGTCCGGCTGACACCTTAATTTTAGCCACTCAGATAGATTTTGAATTTCTGAACTCCACAACGGTAAAATAATAGAAATGTTGTTCTAATCTGATAGGTTTGTGGTAATTTGTTACATTAGTAATAGGAAACTAACCAAGAATATAATTAATAGATACCAATTATAAGTGAATAATTAGGAGCTAGTTCTCTGTGATCTACAAATTAAAAAATATTTTACAGACATATACAATTTCAGCAATCAAATCCTAACTGCCCCATCTAAAGTTCTTAAGTTTATTATACAAAGGCAACAATGTAAATTACATAATAGTACAGTTATGCATACACTGATTTCAACTCTGAAGGCAGAAAAGATTTTTTTAAATGACACTTAATGTAAGAGACCCATATCTATTCCTGGATATCTCTGTGTCTCCTAAGGGAAGACAGTTGTGAACACAATAAAAACTGGACTTAAGCCACTAACTTGTGGTAGCAACTGTTACTCATCTGTGCTTGCCCACCACACTACAGAGCACACTGCTCTGTACAATGTTGGTTGGTGTCCCATCAATGTTTGGCGATTAAATAAATGACTTAATAAATGAAAAATTAAATGAGAGAAACTTAGCTCTTTAGCCAGATTTTATTTTTAATGATTTAGATGGGTCTTTATTCCAAATTTACGTAGAAGGTCCTGTGTCTAGATTATAAATAGATTACTTAAAAAAATAGAATTTTTTAAAGGCCAAGCGAATAAACAAAAGAAAATAGAAATAGACACATAGATATGGAGAAGAATCTGATGGTTGCTAAAGAAGAGGGTGTGGGAGGAATCAGAATTTGTAAACGGCCATTAAAAATAAAACCAAAGAATCAAATCAATGATTAACTTTTGGTTAGGATGCAAAAGTTTGCAAAAAAAATTCAGTCCCACTGTAACAAGGAAAAAGCAATAACTTTAAAAATATTATCTGCCATAAAAGATATTGAAGAGATCTGGCTACAAGCCTAAATGAATGAAATACCAGAGATGAGCCCTCCAAGGGTGAAGAGACATTGGTGGCTGCTGTCACCATGTGGGCCTGAGTAGTCAGAAGAGCTAGCCTGCTCTTGGTAAAGAAACTTCACTGGAGAGGAGAAATTAGCCAAACTTTTATCAGCCAGTCCTTGGCTGGTGTGGCAGATTGGAAAATGGGAAGACAGTTAGTCCTCACTGCCAGCCAATTCACCTTCATAATATTTTTTGCTCAGCAAGCACTGACTGGTGTGGAAGAAGTTAGCAACTGGGTGGAAAGCAGAGAGAGATCTTATCATTTCACATGCAGAGACCACAAGCTTCTGCAGGGCCAGATCTCACCATCCAGAGCAAGTCAGATGGGAAATCTAGTTCCTGATTAGAAATAAGAAATCTGGCCTAATCCCTTTAGTCGCCTCCTAGGAGAAAGTGTAAGGCTTATGTATTCTTTTAAACACAATTTCAAAAGTAAAACCAGTGAAAAAGCAGAAAAAATGTGACGCGTAAGAAGAAAAAATAAAAGAATACAAGGAGAATAATAGATAACTAAATGGTTGGAATTAACAGACAAGGACTTCAATATAAGTATTATGAAAATGCTAAAGAATTTAAGGAAAAATGTACAAAAGGGGTGAGAAGATGGAGAATTTCATCAGAGTAATCAAAATTCTTAAAGGAAAGCAAGTAGAAATTGTAGACGAATAAGTAAAATATCTGAAATTATTAATTACTTGGTGGAACCTAATGGTTAACTGGACACAATAGAAAAAAATTAGTAAACACAGAGAGAAGACTTACAACTATCCAAAATAAAGCACAGAGTGAAAAAAAAATCAATAAAAACAAACCCCGAGCATGAGTTCTATGGCATAATTCCAAATGGTCTGACACACATGAAGTTACAGTCTGAAAAGGAAAAGAAAGAAGGAGTATAATTGTTAGAAGAGAGAGTAGAGGAGAATTTTCAAGGAGGTTGAAAGACAATCCAACACAGTGAAACCTCAGGAGGATAACAGATAGAAAATCACACATAAGTCAAACTGCTGAAAACCAAACTAAAAGGATACGGGCAGTGAAATGACATCTCTAAAGAGCTGAAAGGAAAAAAAAATAACATAAAAAGTGACAACCTATATCCAAGGAAAATATTCCTAAAAAATAGAGGTGAGCCCAGCGCGTGTGGCTCAGTGGTTGAGCATCAACCCAGGCACAAAATCTTGGTCACTGGTTTAATTCCTGGTCAGGGCACATGGCCAGGTTGCGGGCTCTATCCCCAGCATGCGGTGTACAGGAGGCAGCCGGTCGATGATTATCTCTCATCATTGATGTTTCTATCTCCCTCTCCATCTCCCTCTCCCTTCCTCTCTGAAATAAATAAAAATAGAAAATAATAATAAATAGAATAAAATAAATAAACGTTAAACAAAGGTGTTTCCAGACAAACTAAAGCTGAAAAAATTCATGTTGCACTGCAAGAAATATTAAAAGAAGTTCTTCAGACTTAAGGGAAATAATCACAAAGAAAAATCAAGATCAGCAGAAGGAAAAATCAGTGTGGGGTAAATATCAAGGGAAATATAAACAATATAGTTTTAAACTTCTTTAAAAGATAACTGACTATATGAAGAAAATAGAGCAATATATTGTGAGTTATAATATATGGAGAAATAAAATATGACAATAATACAAAAAAACAGGAGGTATAAAAGGAATTACACTATTGTAAAGTTGTTAACTGTTTCATGATGTTGTATAATAGTTACTCATGGTAAAGTGAGATGAATTAATTATGCATATTGTAATCTAGAATAACCGCTTAAAATAATACAAAATGGTGAAACTAAATAGCAATAAGGGTACTAAAATGAGATATAAAAATAAACAAAAATCCCCCACAAAAACCATAATTTCCAAATAAAGAATACAAGAGGGAAATGGGGGGGGGGAAATAAAAGGTTAACAGAATTAAGTCCAAGAATATCCCATGTAATTATATTAAATGTAAGATGTATTCAACACTCAAATTAAATCTGAATTTTAAAAAAGACCCAACTCTATGGTGCTTACAAAAGAAACTCTTTTAATATAAAGACACAGAGTGACAGTAAAATGATGAAGAAGGTGTGCATTACAAACTAATCATAAGAAACTAATGTGTCTATATAGGATCAGAAAAACTAAACTTTAAAGTATCATCAGATATAAAGATCGATAATAAAATGATCAAGAAAGCCCAAAACTGGTTCTCTGCTTAGACTAAAAAGCTTGATAAGTGTTTTTCCACATACAGTTTCTGAAGGTTTATGAACTCCTGTGGGGTGTTTATGGACTTCTATAAAAAACCTATTTTCAAATTCACATTATTTTTAAATTCAATAATTCAATTTTCAAATGCATGACCCCCACCATTCTTTCAAACATTTTTTTTAAATTTAGTTGATTCTTGCAAGTTATTTTACCTGAAATTTCACCTTCTGGTTGATATCAGACACACGGAACTGCTTCAGGAAGCGCTCATCCTCACTCCAGAAGAGGCGGATGTCAGGGATGTCATAGAGGATCATGGCCAGTCTTTCTAATCCTAGGCCAAAGGCCCAGCCAATTTTATCTTGAGCACCAGCTATGATTAGGAAACAAAATAAAACAATTGACTTAAAAATCATAAAGCCTTCACAGGCACATACTACTTCCTGGTAACTAACCAGTAACACTGTTGAGTGCCTACTAGTGGCAAGGCACTGGGGAGGAACTGTGGGGACATCCAAGGCAATGCCCAACCTTAGATTGCTCCTGCTCCCCACATTCCTTACTGCTCTCATTGAGGCATTTTGGACTCATACTGTCTCTAATATTGACTCATTTCTGACTAGATTCTAGGCTCTTTTAAGCCCTGGTTCCTGTCTCTGACACATGACTTTTCTGTAATTCTTGTTTGCCCTGATTCAAACATAACTATGCTCAGGTTACAAAGTCCCTAAATGGCTTACTAGACAGGCAAATGTGTTCAAAACATGCCACAGTGGACCGTTAACATTCAGAAAATGTGTGCCAGACCTTCAAGAACTGTCAATAACAGTAAAATACAACTCTTACTCAGAGGAGCCACCTCAACAATACTCTGAGAGCGAGCAAGCCAAGGTGAAATACACATCTAGTACTACTCACTCCAAAGGTGAAGTGTGCTGTTCAGATACGGCAAGGCCATGAACACTAAGGCAGAGTAAGACAGGAGACTTGAGACAGGCACTGCTGTAGGAAGAAGGTGAGAGAGCAATTTGACTGCTGGAGAGGCTATGACAGGGTCCACGAAAGGAACATAATTTCAACTGCACAATAAAGGATGAGCAGGATCCTAGGTAGGTGGAGGTGGCCTCAAGATCCCTGCCCTGTGTAAACCTCTCCCTTGGAGTGTGGGTGAGACCCGTGAATGGAATGGGATTTCACTCCTATGTTGAGGTTACTTTCTATGAGAGTCCGCCTTAGCAAACTAGAGAGATCCTCCTGCTGACTAGGAGCTGCCATGAAGTGAGAGGGCCATGTGGCAGGACCTGAGGGAGGCCCCAAGGAACTGAGCAAGGAAATGGGAACCTCACTCCCATTGTCACAGGAAATTAATTCTCCCAACAGCCTGAATGAGCTCAGAAGAGGACCCTGCGCTCCAGACGAGAACACAGCCCTGCTGACACCTTTTTAAAAAAATATATATTTTATTGATTTTTTACAGAGAGGAAGGGAGAGGGATAGAGAGTTAGAAACATTGATGAGAGAGAAACATCGATCAGCTGCCTCCTGCACACTCCCTGCTAGGGATGTGCCCACAACCCAGGTACATGCCCTTGACTGGAATCAAACCTGGGACCCTTCAGTCCACAGGCCGACGCTCTATCCACTGAGCCAAACCGGTTAGGGCCCCTGCTGACACTTTTATTTCAACCTGTTGAGACACTGAGCATGGGACCCAATCGATCTATACCTGGACTCCTGATGCAAGGAAATTGTGGCATAACAAATGTGTGCTGTTTTAAACCACCAAGTATAAGACTGATATATATTTTTTTTTTACCCAGCATAAAAAAAGTAATACAGATCCAAAATGTGGAGAAAGAAAAAAGAAATTCCAGACCGAAGGAACCTCATGGCTAGTGAAGGTGAAGGTGCAGCAGAGGAAGGGTTAGGAATTGACTCTGGAAACACAGAGAGTGCAAGGTTGGGGCAGGTAAAACCCTGTGGAGAGGATCAGCTTCTGGCCAGGTGCCACCACCTTATAAACTAATCATCCTATATAATAAAGAGCTAATATGCTAATTAGACTGAACAGCAGAACGACCATCCAGATGACCTTCCGGATGAAGCTGGGCCTTGCATGAATTTCATGCATTGGGCCCCTAGTTTATAACTAAAACAACAAGGGCAGACGTATGACAACAGAAGTCATAGAGAAGTGTGAGCCTCATTGAATGATCTGTTTAGAAGATAAATGAATAAAAGTATTAAATGAGCTCACAAAAGAAAGATACAGAAAGAGAGACTGGCTCAGTAGTAGGAGGGAAGTTGTGTGAAAGAAGAGCAAGTGGTTGGCTAATTTGCAGAGTGCCCCTGTGTTCCTGAGTAGGAATGAACATAGAAATGAGGAGGAGGGGAAGGCATTTTTTAAATATTTTTTTTATTGTTTAAAGTATTACAAATAGTAGTACAGATGTCTCCTTTTTTTCCCCCCATTGACTTTCCCCCCGCCCCCCAGCTTCCGGCATCCTTTATTCCCTTCCCACCCCCGCATTTAACCACAGGAACAATGGGGTCACAGGAATGTGTGCACAACTCCTGGCCAACTTCAGCTGCCTAGGAGAGCAGTTGAAGAGTGAGGCAAAACACATCAGAGTAATTTATATTGATGCATGAAAACCTTAAAAAAAGAAAGCTGTTGACTAAATAAAGACATGAAAATGAACATAATCTGATATACTGTTTTTTATCTACTAAAAGAATATTTTCTTTAAATGACATTGGCCAGTCCTGTATCCCTCACATCATTCATTGTGCAGTTCTAATACCCTTGACATTTGGAAAATAACATGGTAATACATACAAAGATCTATGAAAATGCTCATACTCTTTATTCTTACGATTTTACTCAGGAATTTATCCTAAGGAAATAATTCAACAAAGGAAAAAGACAAATGAAGAAAGATTCTCAGAGCAGTGTTATTTGTAAGGGCAAATATATAAAAACAACCTAGGTGCCCCAAATTAGGGAATGCCTTAAAAATCATAGTACATTTAAAGTAGTCATTTTAAAAATCAGTTCTATGAATAAATGTTTATTAAATTTATTAAATAAGAAATTAGTCAAAATTATGAGAAAATTCATATGTACTTTGATACTAATATTTAATATAGGTACAAATGAGAATTGCAATGTAAAAAAATAAAAACAAAATGTGATGTTCAAGGGTTATAATAATTCTAAAACAACTTTAAAGCATTTCTTATTATAATTGTTAAGTCTTTTCAAATAAAAAGAATAATAAAGATAGGTGGCAATGTTAACATTGCTTTGTGCGAGGCTTTTTCCTCAATTATAAAATTTTTTAGGTCTTACACAATTTTTAGGTAAAACTAATCATTTAGAGCCCAATATCTATAACTTAACAAGTAGTAGATTAAGGATATTTGATTTTATTTAATATTTAGCCATTTTTTAGTATCTTAGCTTTTTGCTCCTTCCATCAATTACTCTAACTTGCTTCTCCATCCCTGAAAGTTTTCCTAAAACAAGAACAAGAATAACAAAGAGCCTTTGCTATTCTTTTAGGAAGTAGGTAAGAAAAAGAGCAACAATCGTATTTTCAAAATGGGCAAAGAGGGGAAGGTGGGAGGTAGAAGAGGGTATAGTGGGGACAAACGGTGATGGAAGGAGACTTGACTTTGGGCAGTGAACACATAATACAATATGCAGATGATATATTATAGAATTGTACACCTGAAACCTATATAATTTTATTAACCAATGTCACCCCAATAAATTCAATAAAAAATAAATAAAATGTGCAAATATTAAGACAGTCACAGAAAATGAAAGAAAAATGATCCTTAAGCAAATGAAAAGTTTACTTAAAAAATTGCAAGATAAAAATGCACCCAGTTATCATACTTTACTCCACAGACTGGCAAAAACAAAAACATCTGAGAGCAAAGCCCAGGGAAAACAAGAACTCTCATACACTGTGGGCGGGTTCATTTGTGGTTTCTAACCCATTTACCTCAGGAGTATAACATATCAGCAGCTACCAAAATTAAAGGTGCATGTACCAGCTTGTTACTTTAACTATGAATGTACCCTACTTATGAGAAAATATGAATGCATAAGGCTATTTATTGGATTATTGTTTATAATAGCAAAAGACTTATAAGCAACCCAAATGTCCACCAACAGGAAATAAAATAAACTATGCTATATCTATTCAGTGGAATATTATTATTATAACTAGAGGCCTGGTGCACAAAAATTTGTGAACTCGGGGGGGTCCCTCAGCCTGGCCTATGCCCTCTTGCAGTCTGGGACCCTCGGAGGATATCCACCTGCTGGCTTAGGCCCGCTCCCTGGGGGATTGGGCCCAAGCTGGCAGTCAGACATCCCTCTGGCAGCCCGGCAGCCCTCGGGGGATGTCCACTGGCCAGCGGGGAGCAGGCCTAAGCTGCAGTCGGACATCCTTAGCGCTGCTGAGGAGGCGGGAGAGGCTCCTACCACCACCGCTGTACTGACAGCCGTCAACCTGGCTTGTGGCTGAGCAGAGCTCCCCCTGTGGAAGTGCACTGACCACAGGGGGCAGCTCCTGCATTGAGCATCTGACCCTGGTGGTCAGTGTGTGTCATAGTGACCAGTCATTCCCAGTGGTTCTGCTGTTAGGGTCGGTTTGCATATTACTCTTTTATTATATAGGATAGAGGCCTGGTGCATGAGTGGGGGCTGGCTAGTTTGTGCTGAAGGGCGTCCTGGATCAGGGTGGGGGTCCGCTGGGGTGCCTGGCCAGCCTGGGTGAGGGGCTGATGGGTGTTTGTAGGCTGGTCACACCCCCTTCAGGGTGGGGGTCCCCCCTGGGGTGCCTGGCCAGCTGGGTGAGGGGTTGATGGCTGTTTGCAGGCTGGTCAAGCTCCCCAGTGGGGACCCTCACCCCATGGAGGTTTGGCCAGCCCCCCCTGGATCAGGGTGGGGGTCCCGCTGGGGTGCCTGGCCAGCCTGGGTGAGGGGCTGATGGGTGTTTGTAGGCTGGTCACACCCCCTTCAGGGTGGGGGTCCCTACTGGGGTGCCTGGCCGGCCTGGGTGAGGGGCTGAGGGCCATTTTCAGGCTGGCCAAGCCCCCTGGCGATGGAAGCTCCCAGCCTCTCCTTTTTTTCTTTTTCGTTTTTTATTCTGGGATTTATTTACCTTCTATAATTGAAACTTTGTTGCTTTGAGTGGAGCTCAGAGCCAACCGCAGCAGGTGGGAGGGAAGCCTCCTGCTCGCTCCAGCTCCGTGGCCACAGCCGGCTGAAAGCAGGTATCTGGGGTTTATTTATCTTCTATAATTGAAACTTTGTTGCTTTGAGTGGAGCTCAGAGCCAGCTGCGGCAGCTGGGAA